TGGTATCAGAGCAAGCCTGCAGTAGTGTGTTGATCCGTTGATCGGGCGGGCACTTAGCAGGGGAAGATTCTGGGATATGGTTGAGATTGAATTGATTTATAAGCACAACGAGAACGTTGCGATCCAAAACGGGGTGATTGTAACACTTGAGATTGATTTAAAATGATTAATAGTACTACTCATACAAATAAGGACGAGTGCATGGGAGTAGTATTGGGATGGGTAACCCCTTTAGAAGTTTCTCAAGGCATGCATGAGTGAGGACAAAGTTCACGGTAAAAACTTGATTTGTGAGGATAGTACTAGAGATTGGCATTAAGAGTAATTACCTCAGGCCCTTACGAGCGAGGTTTTACACGAGAGTTCTACCATGTGTTGACGAGTTCTACCATTTTTGTTCTGTTTTGACGCCCGTAGTTGATCCTGAGATGTTGGTTCTTGGCCCCTTTGACTGTTAACTCCCGTTTCTTTATTCCTGACTGCTTTTGCATTTTTTTTGCTCAATTTGGGATTTTTACTCGTTTCTCTGTATTTTTTTTGTACATATAATTATAACTACATATGTAAAATATTGGTAAGCTATATAAAATATAGGTAACTATCGTGTTTATAACAATTTCCAAATAATTATGACAGAGTCGATTGCAAGCCATGTGAACAGACATGGAATCACCCACCTTATACAAAGCAACTTGAGTGGCTAGACACAGAACAGACAAAGTTAAGTCTAAAATAATCAGAACTGAAACACTGTCTATCAAAAAAATTCCAGAAATCCAAATATCGAAACCAAACCTACTCGAAGTAAAAAAAATATACGAAGTATTCAAGGAAAATAAAATTGAAATAAAACCTTTTCCACAAAACTCTTCCCAGCACAGAGGTGGTTGTGGAGGAGGACGAGTTCTACCATTTTTTACACAGTCCAAAAGAAGACACATATAAACCCCTGATCAGACAAAGCTGATTGGGACACCAAAGCAACTTCTCACATTGAGGGAGACAAAAAAAAAAAAAACAGAACGCCAGTTCCCGCAAAGAACCGCCATAGCACATAACAAACACAACTAGAAAAGCAGAACAATCCAATTAAATCATACTCCTACCAAGAATCTCCGAGAGCTGATGTCACCTAGAACAAGGCATGGAATCGCTACAATCTTAATAGAATTTAGTTATTATTCTTTTAATAGAATTAAATAAAAAATTATTTTAAATATAAAAATTATTTGAACATATTCTTTAATAAAAATATTTCATAAAAGTACAAAATTTATAATTTACGTACAAATATAATACCTAAAATCAGGGATGGATTTAGGGGGGGCGTGGGGGGCGACCGCCCCCCTTGGACTTTTAAAATTTTCCATTATATATGTAATATTTTCATAAAATGTTTCATACTTTACTTAGATATATATGTGTTCGCCCCCCTTAACTTTTAGCCTTACATAATGTAAAACTTAATTGGATATTTAAAAGGGATAAAGACTTAGATAGGAATAAAACAAAGGCTGAGAATCTAAATAGGACCTTCCACTTTTTAAACTCTAAATACGACCAAATTTGGGCGGAGAGACAAATATACCCTTAGGTGTATTCGTATAGCAGCTGCCAACACAAATATCCACTCATGCTTAGTTTTGCCATCAAACAGGAAGGCGATTGGAGAACCCCGGAGTAATTCTTCTCGTCGTGCCCATTGCAGATGTGCGGTTTTCTCTGCCGTTCTGCCGCAACTCGTCGTCAGAGTGGTCTGCAGCTGGTCGTTGCCGGAGGGAGTGCTTTGCCGCTCGTCATCGCCGGAGTGTTCCGTCGCGGATCTTCTTCTTTTCTGCTCTTCTTCTTTTCTTCCACCCGTCTTCTTTCTTCCGCAGATCTACTTTTAATTTTCGCTGGGCGTAAATTTCTATCAGCGTAGAATGCTTTTTGTTTTGCTTTTGTTTTTTTGCGTTTTGCTTTTGCTTTTGTTTCTTCTTTCTGTTTTATCTAATTTCCTATTCAGTTTATTCTTTAAAATTTAATGTCAATAGAGATTGGGACTTGGGGGAGGGGGAGAGATTGAAGATGCACCACAACCGTTGGTTTCGTTTGTCATATTTTGGAGATGTTCACATTGAATTAATTGGTCCATGGAGGAAGTAATATATCCTGCAATGGTTTTGCTAGTTAATCCTGTTACTCTCAAAATAAATATTATGACAATATCATAATCAATATCATTATTTTAGAATATTGTAATGTTAGAAATAATACCAATACTATATGAGTATAGCAATATTTTAACATTCACATTTTAAGTTACTTTTTCATTATAAATACTTTTTAAAATATACCATGCATAGTATTGTAAATATTGTCAAAATATTAAAAAATGTCATGGATTTGAAAGTGACACAATGTCACATAATGACAATGTCAATATTACATATTATGACATTGTAATAATGACAATATCATAAGAAGTTAATGACAATGTCATTAGAATGTCAATAAAAAACAATGTCAATTACAATGTCATACGAATGTCAATGACAATGTCATAAGAATGTCAATGACAATAAAATAAATTCCTTATTTCTTTGCTTTCAGTTTTGTTCGTATGTACAGAGCACTATCGAATAGTGTGACAATGGTGATATCATTTATCAATACTAAAAACAATGTCACAATTTTGAAATGAATCCACCTCATACTAACACTCAGAATTTAATTTTAATAAACTACTCTGTATGTGTTTAATAAGGAAATTAAGTATGATTAAATTCTAATTTATACGGAATATTGTAAAAGAAAAAGGAAAAAAGAAAAAATCAAAATACAAAAACAGAAAAGAAAATCAAAAAAGAAAAGAGACATCAAAGCAAGAAGATGGATAGAAAATACGAGTAGATCTGGATAACAAGAAGAAAGATGAAACCAATGTCACCTAAAAATTGATGTCAATGTTATAAAAATGATATTAAAATGACACAATTTCAATGACATTGTCGTGACAATGTCAATAGTTATTATGACTGTTAATTTTATAAAAAAACGCCAGAAGAATGTCCTAAAAATGTCATAAAACGTATAAAAATGTCACGGGATTAAGAAAATGTCACAATGGCAATATCATTATCGATATTATAAAATGACATTGTAATTATGACAATAATATTTTTATAAAAAAAAGTCACAATGTCAAAAAAATGTCGTAATGTCAATTAATCACAATGACAATGTCATAAAAATGTCATACAAATGTTAATGATAATGTCATAAAAATGTCAATGACAATATCATATAAATATCAATGACAATGTCATAAGAATGTCAAAAATAACTTTGACAACACATACCCCTTCACCAACAATTCCAGAGAAGGCTACAAGTTATAATCAATGTCACAACATATATCAACTAAATCCAAAAGAGGCCATACCAATCAGTAACAACAACTTTATAGTAACATCCAAACAAAAACTAGCTAGGAGAACACTCCTAAATAAGGTTAAGGAGAATTTCAAAAGAATCATATTAGATGGATAAAGTTTATACAATCTTGTATGTTAGAAACTAAATTTCAGCTAGTAAACTCTTAACATCAGCCACCGTTCCTTCGAAAACTTTGAGATTTATGACCTTCCAAGTTCCAAATACTATGAACGGTGCAGCAGAAAACCACCATCTTTATTTGCACCACCATCTTCCTCTTCCTCACAAGAAGAGGAAGGGAGGAGGTGATGAAGAACATATCTGTAACATCTTCGACTGAATCGATCAGCCGATCTAGTTGTTGCGCCACATGTTACCGGCCAGATTTGGCTGATTCCGGCGATTGGGAGGTGCGCCACCTTCGCCGGCCAGATTTAGTCAATTCCTGTTCAATCTATAAGCTGTTTGTCAAACTAGAAGGCCGAACTCCCCTTTCGCTCCTATGCTCCCTTAAGGCGAGTCAGTGAGGAACGGACACGGGCCAAGCAATAAAAAAATAAGGGCAAATCCGGTAATACGAAAATATATGGTCCTATTCACGGATAAAAAAAGAGTAGGTCCTATTTGGTTACATAAACTCAATTTTAGTCTTATTTAAGACTATTTCTCTATTTAAAAGAAGAAACGTCTAAAATAATTTACATACTTAAGCAAATAAAAAATATAATAGAACAACTCTGATCATTGTTTAAGACTTGAGATATTTATTATATAAAAATTCCTAGTTTTGTAATGTTTAGTTAACTTCATTAGATAATTAGTACTCGATTTTGTAAGATATCAAATTATATTAACTATCAGACACACTAGTTAAATAATTTTTAGATCATGTGAGGTGAATCCAAAATATAAATTTTTGTTCACATTAAATTACACAATTCATTTACTTGTTACGTTCTACAAACTAATTATTGCATAGATAATAAACTTTAACTTATTTTATCATTAATGCAAATATAATATGCACTATGTATATGAATCAGTAATATAATATTATTCTAAAAATAATAATGTCATACATACTATTGTAATAATAAGAAAATTCTTTTTGACTCACAAACACCCTCCTTGTTAGACAAAAAATGTAATTCAAAAACCAATTCTTTATTCTGATAAAGATTTATGAGGTTAAACAAGGAAAAAGTTATTTAAAAAGTATTGGTGCATATATACCTTTTAAACTCTTTATTTTCAAATAACTTTCCTTTGCGTTGTTATTTCTTACGATTTAATGTGTCAATACCTTTTTTAGAGCATTTCAATTATAAAATCAAAGTTATTTTTCCATTGTCTAAACTTAGAATGTAATAATTTTAAATGTCATCGTGTATATATTAATAAAAAAAAATTGAATAAAAAATTGCCATAGAGCCTTATACTAGCAAAATAAATCCCCCCTACACTAGTCCGAAATTTTTTTCACCCCCTACCCTCATAAAAATATTTCACCCCCTACCAGAACTCCTGGATCAGTTCTTACCTAAAATCATTACCCAAATTTTAAAGAAAGAAAAATTAAATTGGCCCAATCTGTTTTGGGAAACGTTAGTCTAAACTCTAAACCTCCAAGGACAGGACTTTACTGGACGAAGCCGAGAAACTCAGTCACACACGAACGCCTTTCGGCGGTTTGCGACGCGGAAGTCGGAAGGCCGGCCTCCAAGCCGCCCAGACACCGACGCAGCGACGGCTGTGACGCTTGGCTGCCTCCCAATCGGCGCCCGTCCCTGCCTATTCTCAGTGCACATGCGATCCGATTCTTCTAAATTTCAGGCCAGAATCCCAGCCCCTCCGGCCCTTCGACCCCCTGCCCTTTGGTGCATTCTGCCTGCTTCTGTTCCTGGTATTCTGCTAATCTGCTATTTACCTATTTAACTCTTATGTTGATTACTTGATTAGTTTAATGGTTCATAGAAGTACTGAATCATACGTACTAGTTGTTACTTGTGTGTTAGAATGTTGATTGTTGTCAGTTGATTAGTTTCTGTGTTTTAATGTGTTATTCCAAATGTTAGTTGTACTTTATTTTATTTACAAATTCAGATGAACATGTATATAATTAAATCATACAAATGTGTATCATTTGGCCAATTATACGATTTTGTATAAACAATTCATAAAATGTGCAATATGCACGTTTACTCGAGGATCCCAACATCCTCTTTTACTAATGAGAAAAGTAGATCTGGTGTGGTTAAATTCATTGTCATAGAAGGAAAATTTATTTGGTCCAATAAAAGGTGGAATCTCCCACCGCAGGAGCCCCACCCCGATCGGACAGGATGGTGGAGAGGTTAATCATGGTCACTCAGTCAGCAAAACGGCGGTAGGCCTTATACACGTGCGCACCAGAGATCCAGCCTTATTTCAGGTTCTGTAATCTCCACACGGCTGCTGCGGGTTTCGAACCTGGGTCACTTGGTCCAATTTTCCCACCACTCGACCAACTGAGCTACCCGTGCGGGTGAAGGAAAATTTATTAAAATGATTTGTTGATGCAGATTTTTTCTACTAAAGTATTAAGTATGTACACAGACATAAACATATATTACACCAAAACCATTGAACTTGTGTGCATTGAACCCGTCAGAAATTATTGACGAATAAGATGAAGTATTTTAATTGGGCATGGAAGAGTATATTACATTACACACTCACAGAATGTTTTGATTTTTGCATCACCACCCCTTGTAATGTTTTTGAGGTTTCATGAATGTGACTTGACAAATGTAATGAGCGCAAGTGATTTCCCTCCGTCTCCTTATTTAAGTTACTACTTGTTGCCATTCAAATTTTTAGTTTCGTTATCACACAAATCATTTTCAAAGTATATTAATGTATTAACATTACTATAAAAATCATTTTCATAGACACAAATCATAATGACACAAATCATATTTAAATGGTCAATCTTATTTTCAAATTTAAGTTACTATTTGTTGACAATTTTCAAATTTAAGTTACTACTAATATATTATAACAGTACTTTGTTAGAGTTAAAGAGTTTAACCCTAAAAGTCAATATATATTACGGAGTAAAATATGGATCATTTAAAAATAGGGTTGGCAATTGTGAATTGTGACTGATCCGATGGTAACACGCACAGAACCGCACCGATCAAAACGGGGAAAACCGCATTGACCGGGTAACGGGTATGCGGCGGGGAATACCCATTTTATTTTTACCGGTAACGAGGCGGTTATGGTTTTATACATGCCCGCCCCATTACCCGTCACGTATCCGCACCGTTTATTTTTAGTTATATTTTTATTACATTTTTATCTATTATTTGTCCCACAACTACTAAAAGATGAGACTTTCCTATTATCATTGTGTATATATGGATAATAAATGTACTAACAATAGTGTATGAATGAAAATTCATAATAGATTTTTATAATCTTGTTTGATTATTATCAGATTTTTTCCGTGATGAATTATTTTTTAGATTAAGTATTTTTTTGGTTCAAATTAATTTAGGTTGCCTTCTTTCTCAGTTTCTCGTCTTGTAGATATACGAAACTTTAAAGTGGCGTTTGATGTCTAAAGTGTCTAGGCGATGCAATTTTTCGCCTTTTAAAATATTATTTTTATATTAAAATATCAATGACTCATTTAATAAAGCGGTTACCCGCGGATATACCCGTTACCCGTTGGGGCGGTTATGGTTTGACTAAAAATTACCCGTTGGGTAATGGGACGGTTACGGGACGTGGAAATTACACAACGGAGCAGGTACGGTTATATGTAAAACAGTTCCCGTTCCACCCCGTTGCCATCCCTATTTAAAAATAGTCAAAGAGTTTAATTTTCAAAATCAAATTTAGAAGGGTTAAATTTAGTTTGTCTCTGTAAAGCACTGAATGTTTTGCACATGCACTGATGCACATGGAGTGATGGTCAGATGAAAGCAGAATCTATTTGTGCTAGTTGTAATTCTCCCGGAAAGCACAGATCGAGAATATCTGAGTGAGTATGGTTCATAGATCTAAAGAGACAGAGAATGGGTAGGTCAGAGTGTGGGATAGATGTATCAGAAATGAAGAGTAGTGTTATAAGTATTTAGGGAAGGGCCATGCCCTTAATAAAATAAGAGTATAAGAATATGTTTAATATTTATTAAACAGTTTGTTTGGACCAAGGTTCAAGATTGTGTATTGCGTTGTCGTGGCATTTTTTTAAATTGCATATTACGTAAGACTCATTGTGAAATGAATCGTAATACACGTGTATATATATATAGAGAGAAAAGGTCACGTGAGTGTCTTTGATTGAAAACTGTGAAGTTTTAATTTATAGAACCAATAAGGTAACCTATAAAGAACACGTTATAAGTTACTAGTATAACTTATAACTCAACAACCCTAAATAAATACTCCCTCCGTCCCATAAAATAAGTCTCATTTCAATTTGGATCGGAGTTTAAGAAAGTGGGAATAAAGTGGAAATGTATGGTTGTGGTTGAGTAAGAAAAAGGTAAATGAATGTTAGCCACACAAAACTTTCCAAAACGGGAAATGGGAACAATTTTTTGGGACGGCCCAAAAAGGAAAATGGGACTTATTTTATGGGACGGAGGGAGTAATAAGCTTCATAGGGATAAAGTGATAAACTGTGCAAGTATTAGACAAGTATGTAACTACGATATAAACAACTAATAACATTTGATACTTAATGATTTTTATATTTATTGATCTATAAATGCATTCAAGACACTTCTTTTTTATTAACTATTAATTCGTTAAATTCAACTTATAATGCCAATTATGTAGTACAGCCTTTATAAAAAATATAGCTTCATGTGATAAATTGAGTAAGTAAAAAAGAAATACGAGACTACCATGAAAACAACGAAGAACACTTGACATCCCTTGTTTTTTATTTTTAGTGAACCATAAACGCATTCAACATACTTTTTTTCTAATTAAATTTTAATTTGTTTAATAAAACTTCTAAAGCCAGATATATAACTTTTACAACATTTAAATTACTTCGCAATTTCAGTCGAAGATACACTTCTCACCTGATCCGCTCCCTATATATAGGGAGCGGATCAAGTACAAATATGCTTATTGTGCAAATATTTGTAAGATGCATGTATACGTTATTTGTATTGCATATTAACTTTCAAAGTGTTGCATATTACTCTGCAATGAACTAAGCAGTTTCATATTATCGTTCAAAGTGTTGCATCTTAAAAAAGTTTGGTTTATTATCAAAATGCCACCATGCCTTTATAGCTTTTGGATCAACTCATCAGATGGCCAAGATGAGTTTGTAGTTTGTAAATTATGAGGTGTTTGTATTTAATCCCTTATATATATACACACAATAATGTACTACCTCCGTCCCTCTAATATTGGGACGGAAGAGAGTGGTGTGGGAAAAGTAGTCAAAGTCGAAAGGCGCACTTGAAGCGCTAGGGGCCTTCCAGCGCCTGAGGCGCAAGACGCAAATAAAGCGCTCGCCTGACTCGGGTGAAGCGCATTACTTAGATAAAATAACATATACTATTCTATAATTACCAAATATGATGTATGTAACATCATATTGAACCAAATGCATATAAAATCCAGGATTCACCAATTTAAAGTCATGATTTACAAAAAATAAAACACCAAATTCAGAATTCATGGCTTTAATACTAAAACTATAAATAAAAGACAATCAAATTGGAGCCTATTTCCCCTTGTTAAACTTGTGAGCCTACATAGTACTATTACTTTATTAATAACATAGCAATATACTAGTGCTGTGAGTATCATAGAGTAATACAGAGTATTATGACTATTATATACAAAGCAATATACTAATGCTGTGAGTAATATAGAGTAATACTGAGTACTATTACTCTATTATATACATAACAATATACTAGTGCTGTGAGTAATAGAGTAATGCAGAGTATTAATACATTATTACGAGTAATATAGAGTATTATATACATAGTAATATACTAGTACTTTATTATATACATAGAAATATACAATAAGAGTATTTGGATGAAGAAGACTGCATGAAGAAGAACACATATCTTGTTTAGTAGTGTGAGGGAGAACTGAGTTTGCTTAAGATGATGAAGAAAACTGAAAGAACTGGCTGGTATAGAGCAACTGAGTCAGAGTGAGTAGGCTGAAGAGCCGATGATGGCTAGTGATATAACTTAGTCGCAAGATTTTAAGTTTTTACGTACTTTACTTAAAGCTTTTACGTAGGTTTAAATGGTTTTACCCTATTATTTAGATGGGCTGAGTGTTATTAAAGATATGGGCTAATTATATTTTAAAGTTTTAAACAAAAAAAAGGCTTGTCAGCCTTTTCAGGATCAGGCGAGCCAGGCGTGCGCCTCCTGCGCTTCAGCGCTTAATGCGCTTATTCTGCGCCTGACCCAGGTACGTGCGCCTCCCCTTCTCCCAAGCGCTGAAGGCCCTGCTCGCTGCGCCTGGTGCGCTTAAGCGCTGGGGCGAGCGCTTTTGACTACCTTGGGTGTGGGTTTTTAGAAAAGTAGAATTATGTGGTTGATAATGAGTTGATAAAGTGAGAATAAACTAAGAATGAATTAGAGCCACACAAATGTTACCAACTATGGTATGAGGCAATAATAGAGGGACATCCAAAAATTAAGAAATGAGACAATTATAGGGGGACGGAGGGAGTATATATTAATATGTATGTATACACACATATATATTAATATGGTATGTATAAACACTAAAAGTAAAACAACTTATTCATCAAAAGTCATCAAATGTCATATTAAAACAAATTATAATGAGGCCGTAATCCTAGTAAAGTAAAATCAAGGCCGTTAAACAAACGTCATAGTAAACAAATCATAAACACAATAGAATTGAATATAATAGAAAACATTTGTGAACCGTTCATCATCCCAAAATTCCTAACACATTAAAATTTCAAGCATGAGGAGTGTTGTGGTAGCTTGGTAGGTGCGTGATAATCAACAATATCACTTAGTCACATCACATGACATAAATTGAAGTATGCATATCACTTTTGGAACTGAGGCTTGGATGTTGTTGTATTAGATTGATGACTGTAAATTAATTCATCACTATTTAGTGGTTTAAAATAAAGATCATAAACGCCAATTATATTAATTATAAAAAAATAAATGTGGGCCACCCCACTTTTATTGCTGAAAGTGGGTATGTAGAATTTTATTATTTTGGTTGTTAGTCCTTATGCTTCTTATTGCTGAAACTTTGTTGTGAAAAATACTTTTTGTTGCTTGTTTTAGACTTTTAATGTTTAAATTTTGCTTCTCTATTCAATGCTTCAGGGATTGATTTTCTCCTCAAACATGAATATGAGTTTTGGTTAAGTTAAATTAGTATATCATCTCTCCATTCCCTTAAGTTCACATTTTTTTAGCCAAGATGGTTACCACTTACCTGTATTAGTTTTTAGTATAACAATTACATGTCTTTTATGATTTTTTTGAATGGAAACTGGATCTTACAGTTCAACTAGTGAACCATTGGCCATTGGTACACATTGCTTCAACTGGCGACCCTTTGGGCCATTGGTACCCTAACACAGTCAATTACCAGTCTGAGTTTTAAAATCTTGATTACAATGGACACAGGTGGACGCATACTCTGATCCTAATCATTGGTTCAAGACACTTCTCATTTCTGTGACTAGCTGCCTCCAGTTATCTATCCAATGGCTGCTCATATGACCATGGTAAGTGTTACAAAATATCATGTAGCTGTAATGCAGGTAACCATTCTGAAAATTCTCATAACTATCTTTTATTTAGATCTGCAAGAATTTACTCTGAAACTTTCAACTGATCAGTTTTGTAAAAAAGTTGCGGTTTTCTCCTTTGAATTTTGCTTTTCTGAAAAATTGAATTTCCGCAGAGTAATTGGGATTCTCTTACTGCAATTTGAATCTGTTAAATCACTTAATTTCCAAGCATATGTTTTGATCAGATCTGAATATGATAGGGACTTGGGTAGAAATGTAGAATAATAATTAAGAAGAATACTAGAATAGTACAAATAGGAGGGGGGTGAGTAATAAGAGGGAGGCTGTTAGACAGTTACAAATAGACTGGAGAGCAGGACCTCTCGAAGAGTCCTATCTGTTCTTACTTTTTTTATATTCAGTTGTAATCCGCCATTAATGAACTCAGAAGCTTTGAATACTTCATGATAGATTTTTCAGTTTCTTTACTATTCTGTGAGTTACCTATCATTGGTATCAGAGCACCGATTCTGGAGAGATAAGAAATGGAGAGTAGAATTGAAAAATCGGAGAGACATGCGAGAAATGCGAGAAAAGTTTAACGATATGCGGACTAACATCGATCAGCTGAATCGCAGGCTAGCGAGGAGCCCTAGGTGGCGTCGGCCATCCGAAAACCAGTGCTCGTCAACCGCGTCTCCCAGTTCGTCGCTAAGTGCGCAGGTTTCTTCTCAGTCGCGAGCACCTCTTTCCAGTTCTCTGGCTTCGTTGCGAACTGTTTCTCCTCACCGATCATCATCGTTTGTCGTTCTCCTAGTTCACAGATGCTAACCACTTCTCCCAGTTCGCAGATGCAAGCCACTTCTCCCAGTTCACAGATGCAAGCCACTTCTCCAAGTTCACAGATGTGAACTACTTCTCTCAGTCCGCAGACCGTGTCACAAGTGGAAGATATCACTTCGCGTCAGAGTACGATGCTATCGAAAGAAGAATTTTCTTGTTCGCAAGTTTCGTCACAAGACTTTTCTCACCCTGCTCAAGAATCTCCCCAGTCGATAATTAATACTGAGTTGAAGACAGTTGAATCAGTAACCAAGGAACTGAATCCAGACGATGAACTCGAGGAGCAATCTACACTTCTACAGTTGCCGATTGACCTGAAGTTGTTTCCGTTGCTGGATCCCTCATTGATACCATTTCTTCCAAGTATGAGCCTGTCAAGTCAGATCTGGGAACCAATTTGTTCAAGCTAAACTGGGCGACAGATGAGGATAAGAGGGAGTTTACTGGGATCGCAATGAATGGATTTATGTGGGGGAAGGGGCAGATAACTGCTTACTGCTTATACCTGGAAACCTCTGAAGGAGGCAGTGATTAGGAGTCATCCAGAATGGGTTCAAAATTCAGTCGCACTAATGATTAGCATTGAATGGGTAGGCACAGTATTGAAGTTCAGTGATGATGACAAGAGGGGATGGAAGGAAAAAGGGGCTGTATGAATAAACCTCAGCATTGGGTAGAAGGATTGAAGGGAATCACATGTACCCGTAAATATGAGGGAGGTGCTGATGGGACTTGTCATAGTGGCAGTCTTTGCCATAGCAGTGATGTATTCAATGGAAATTTTGTTCTCACTGTTGTTCGGTTTTATTACTTGAGATTTCACTCTTACATACATCATGTGAAGTTCAGATCAGTTGTTCATTCTGTGAGATGCAGCTCTAGAGTGGTTACTGTCCTACCAGCGGCTCAGATATACTGTGGTAATACCACATATTTAGAGAGGGATTATAACTTTGTCACAAACCCTGTTGCTAGGGGTTATTCGGGATCTGGAAACCTGGGCATTTGGAAAGCTTCCTTTAATACCTCTGCAATTGAATCTGCCATTGTTGTTAGTCAGTTAATGGATGTTCCTGCTGTTCTTATTATCAGTCCTAGGGAATACTTCAGGTCAGATGCTACAATTTCAAGGAGTGAAGCAATGGAAACCCAAGGGCTTGGGTTATATCGTGAGGCAAGAGCTGTTAGCAAATGGAAGATTGAGCAGTTGGTGATCGGTAAAGCTCAGTTCCAATATGAACAAAGCCACCCTAGTGATACTGATGTTCTGAAGGCAGAGGATCTATTGATGCTATTGCTAGAATAAGTGAGGAGGAAAATTCAATTATGGAAGCTCCTTGTCCAGCAAACAGTGAGGTATTGGGAAGGAAGACGCACCAGGATGAAGAGGAAGATCATGGCTGATTCCCATCACCCACCTTGAGGACAAGGTGATTGTTTAAAGGGGGGAGATATGATAGGGACCCAGGTAGAATAATACTCCCTTGTTAAAGTTAAATCTTCTCTATTGATAATCAATTCAATTTTTAATACTACGTAATTAAAATTTTGCATATTCGGAAACTAAACTAAAATCTCTTTAAAGTTGCAAACTCAAAATTAGAATATAATTAAAAATTGGCATCCTAATTAAGTGAATAAAATGAAGCTGTTTGACAAAAAAAAGTCAGTTTTGCAAGTCAATTTGGGACGGAGGTAGTAATAAATAAGAAGAATACTATAATAGTATAAATAAATAGGAGGGGGGTGAGTAATAAGAGGGAGGCTGTTAGACAGTTAGAAATAGACTGGGAGAGCAGGATGTCTTGAAGAGTCCTATCTGTTCTTAGTTTCTTGATTTTCAGTTGTAATCCACCATTAATGAACTCTTAAGCTTTGAATACTTCTTGATAGATTTTTCAGTTTCTTTGCTATTCTGTGAGTTACCTATCAGAATAATACTTATTCTTGTTAGTAAATTATTTTTGTAATATTCGTTTCGGTTTCCAGGAGATTGAGGATGACGATGATTATGTTGAGTATGTTCCTGTGGCAAAACGAAGGGCGCTTGAGGCACAGAAAATCCTACAACGAAAGGGCAAATCCGCACCGTTAGAAGAGGAAACTGAAAAGACAAAACAAGTTGAGGCAAAGCCGAGCTTGCTTGTGAAGGCCACTCAGCTAAAGAAGGAAATGCCAGAGGTGAGTGTGACTGAGCAAATGGTTCAGCAAGAGAAAGAAATGATTGAGCATCTCTCTGATAGAAAGACTCTGATGTCAGTGCGTGAACTTGCAAAAGGGATTACCTACACAGAACCTATGTTCACTGGTTGGAAGCCTCCATTAGTCATCAGAAGGATGGCAAAAAGAGCTCGTGACACCATTCGTAAGCAGTGGCACATTATTGTGGATGGAGATGATATCCCTCCGCCCATCAAGAATTTTAAGGATATGAGGTTTCCGGACCCTATCCTGGACAAGCTTAAAGCTAAGGGAATTGTTCAACCGACTCCGATCCAGGTACAAGGATTGCCTGTCATCTTGTCTGGAAGAGATATGATTGGAATAGCATTTACAGGATCAGGGAAGACACTGGTTTTTGTTTTACCACTTATCATGGTGGCCCTACAGGAGGAGATAATGATGCCTATTGTGCCTGGAGAAGGGCCATTTGGATTAATAATTTGCCCATCCAGGGAGCTTGCACGACAGACATATGAAGTAATAGAAGAGTTCCTAGAGCCTTTAAGGAGGTCTGGGTACCCTGAGATAAGACCTCTATTATGCATTGGAGGAATTGACATGAAGTCCCAGCTAGATGTGGTGAAAAAAGGAGTTCATATTGTGGTTGCAACACCTGGAAGACTTAAAGATATGCTCGCTAAAAAGAAAATGAGCCTTGACAATTGCAGGTAACAATTCATTGTTGCTTTTGTTGTAGGATTAGTGTGGCATGAATGTTTTGGAAGCTATGCTACAGGATTTAATACATTAACTCTATAATTAGAAGTTTATCTTTGGCAAAACATATTTTATTCTTGATATTTTTAATACAATGCTTCCAGAGTATAGTTCAAGTCAATTGGATTTTTGTCTGTAATTGCTATCATTTCTGTCTATAACTTCCCGTCAGTTTAGAAACATGAACCTTCATTTCAATGTCTTGGGACATTGATGAGTTTAGAAGCATGAACCTTCGTTTAACTTCATTCATTCTTCATGAGTTTAAAACTTCTCAATTCCCTAATTTGGCTTCAATTTAGGACAACAAAAGGGAGAGTAGGAAATTTATTTTGGAGGATATTATACAACTAAGGAACTCCTGATATTAAAATGTTATATCAGAATTATTAGAGAAATAATTTAAACATGTCATGTTCATCGGAATAATTTATTCCATTCATAAGCAATGGGCACACTTAGTTAGAGTTATTCACGTGTAATTAAATCGAGGAAATGTGCTGCATTGTATGATTTAGGGTTTAATGTTCATATCCACTATTCTTGCCAGAATTATATGCCCATACTTAGTAACATTTTGTAATTTTAGGTCCCTGTTTCTTCATGTCCCATTCTTACAAATCTTACCCTCAAGTCCTCAACATTTAATATTGGACATTAGTTCTCATGCATGCGCTCATCCAGGTAGCTAATATACAAATACACTTGGATGGAAAAAAATTGCATCATATCTTAGACAACTATTAAAGTAAGTGTACAAAGAACTTTGTACAAACTGTTTTCTCACTCATGCAATAATGCAATGCCTGATGATTCTCAATTATGTAACTATGGTACAGGGGTAAGGCTACGTACATCCTACCCCCTTTACTCCACACCATAGGTGGGGGCCTTTGCGGCACTGGGGTAATGTTGTTGTTTCTTCAATCTGCCTGTTATTCTTCCATTTTCAGAGCATTAACTAATTCTAAGTTGGAAACCTAAAAGTGCATGCACAGTTCTTGTTAAATAAATGTTTATTATATCTTTGACTTCCTGTCAGTTTAGACATTCACCTGCTTACCACCATGCTTGCCTTGTGTGTAGATATTTAACACTAGATGAAGCGGACAGATTAGTTGACCTCGGTTTTGAAGATGACATCAGGGAAGTGTTTGATCATTTTAAAGCCCAAAGGCAAACTCTACTTTTTTCTGCCACAATGCCCACAAAGATCCAAAACTTTGCGAGAAGTGCTTTGGTTAAACCCATAACGGTGAATGTGGGAAGAGCTGGAGCAGCTAACTTAGATGTTATCCAAGAAGTAGAGTATGTGAAGCAGGAGGCTAAGCTGGTTTACCTTCTTCACTGTTTGCAGAAAACGCCTCCTCCTGTTTTAATATTTTGTGAGAACAAAGCTGATGTGGATGACATACATGAGTACCTGCTTTTGAAAGGAGTGGAAGCTGTTTCTATTCACGGAGGAAAGGACCAAGAAGAGAGGGAGTATGCCATTTCATCATTCAAAGCAGGAAAGAAGGATGTGTTGGTGGCAACTGATGTTGCCTCCAAAGGGTTGGATTTTCCTGATATTCAGCATGTGATAAACTACGATATGCCCGCTGAAATCGAGAACTACGTACATAGGATCGGGCGTACAGGTAGGTGTGGCAAAACAGGAATTGCCACAACGTTCATAAACAAAACTCAGAGCCCAACAACCCTTCTTGATCTGAAACATCTCCTGCAAGAAGCCAAGCAAAGGATTCCTCCAGTTCTTGCTGAACTTGATACTCCAGGGGAGAATGATGATGCAATCACAAATGCAAGTGGGGTCAAAGGTTGTGTCTACTGTGGTGGTCTTGGTCATCGTATTAGTGATTGCCCCAAGCTCGAGCATCAAAAGAGCCAGCAAATCGCCAATCAAAGGAGAGATTACTTTGGATCTGGCGGATATCGAGGAGAAATTTGATTTGCTATTTTGTATTTTCTTATATTTTGTCCTTATAATTTTCTGCTCATTCAATAACTGGATTTTATCTTTTGTAGCACAGTTGTTTACAACGCAATTGCCCCCTTGTACTTGTGTACAGATGAGAAGTATGAACTTTATTTCATGATATTGTGATGTAGAGAAGGTTCCAGCCAGCTTAGTAGTCTTGAATGTATCAGTGCGATTACTCCGTTTGGGCTTGTTTGTGAGGATACTTTGTAATAGAGAGTCCCTTAGATTTCCCCTTTGTGAGCTGTGAATAGGGGTGGATTCGGTTCGGGCCACCCGGCCCGTGACCCGGCCCGGTACTGTGCGGGCCCGGAACCGGCCCGGTCGGGCCGTCCGGGACCGGGTGTAGACCCGAACCGGTGGGAATGGGCGGGGCGGGCACGGTTCCGGAAAAATGTGACTCGGCCCGGGTCCAACGGTCCTATTTAAAAAAAAATTGTTAAATACTCACTAGCCGTTATGGCCTTGGGGGTGGGCTGGGGACAACCCAAACGGCTATATAGCCGTTGGGTGGGGTGCAGGGGGGTCCAAGGGGGTTGGGTGGTGGGGGTAAAAAAACCTATAAATACTCCTAATCTTAAACATTTTTTCATATCTCTTCTCCAATTCTTCCTAAATCCTATTCTTAACTCTCTACTCTCTAATTCTCTTATTCTCCAATATATTATACTACCTCCGTTCTTAAATAAATGCAACATTTTGACTTTTACACTATTCGCATGTTCTACTTTGACTACGTTTTATTTATTAATGTAATAATATTATTTTATGAAAAAATATTGTTAAACTTGTCTCATTGTAAATTTTCATAATCTATTTTTTTTAATTTTTTTACTAATACAAAATCATTTATATTAATGGTCAAAGTTGTGTCTCGGCAAGTGTGAAATGTTGACCGTTGCATTTATTTAAGAACGGAGGAAGTATTTATTATTTATAGTTTATATTAATTATCTACTTATATAAACTATAAATAGATATAAATAGTATTATATTACTTATATTTATTATCTAATTATATATTACTTATATATTTATTATATCTATTAATATAGTTGGAATTATATCTAATTAATTTGAAGTCATTCTATTACTCCCATCCGAAAGACCGAAAGTCCGAAAGAGGTACGAAATTATTCTATTATTTACACTTGTTTAATTTTGTATTAACGTTACTTGAAAAAAAAACTAGTTAATTAGGTTGTACAATTTGCTATAACTCGAATTAATAGTTAGATTAATAGTTAATTACTTTATTAAAAAATAGTTAATTAGGTTGTACAATTTGCTACATTTGACTCTAGTTTAAAAAACTAGTTGTAATTCTAATTATAGTTAAAGTTAAAGTGTATTAATTTCATTGTTAGTAAAAAAAATATGTTGTACACAAAACTAGTTAATTCACTAGTTAATTTGCTATAACTCGAATTAATAGTTAGATTAATAGTTAATTACTTTTTTACAATTTTTTATTAATTGCTACATTTGACTCTAGTTTAAAAAAACAGGTTGTACACAAAACTAGTTAATTCACTAGTTAATTTGCTATAACTCGAATTAATAGTTAGATAAATAGTTAATTACTTTTTTACAATTTTTTATTAATTGCTACATTTGACTCTAGTTTTAAAAAATAGGTTGTACACAAAACTAGTTAATTCACTAGTTAATTTGCTATAACTCGAATTAATAGTTAGATAAATATTTAATTACTTTTTTACAATTTTTTATTAATTGCTACATTTGACTCTAGTTTAAAAAAATAGGTTGTACACAAAACTAGTTAATTTGCTATAACTCGAATTAATAGTTAGATAAATAGTTAATTACTTTTTTACAATTTTTTATTAATCGCTACATTTTTTAGATGGATCGTCCTAGATATTCGGTTGATATGGGTAACCTCGAGCGCTACATTATTCAATGAGTTTCATGCACAATATGACAATGCGCCCCCTCCCCCGACACAAACATCATCTAAAGGAAAATCAATTTTCAAATCTACGTTTGCCAATCTTATTAAAAAACGAAATCAACTCCCGCTACACAACAAAACACAATTAATGAGATTTCTTTGTATTTAACTTATGATGTTGATTTTGAAGAAGATGATGATTTTGACGTACTAAACTGGTGGAAGGGAAAAAGAAAGAATGTTCCCGGTTTAGCAAAGATGACTAAGCAAGTGCTATCAATGCCGGTTTCAACGATTGTCGTGGAACAAGAATTTAGTTCGGCCGACAATGTCCTAACACAAACCAGAATGAGGTTGAGCGCTGAATCTCTTGAGATGTATATATGCTACCACGATTGGTTGAAAGCAGCCCGTAGAGATTAAGAAATTGACATCACCCCATCCCAACACTTTATGGATGAATCTACAACCGAGGATGGCTCTACCTATGTCGGAGATTCCGATTGAATGATTGATTAGTATTTCATGTTTTAAAAACAATTGTAGTTCCTATTTAATTTTCAAATGTAGTTCTTATTTCATTTCAAATAAATACACTTGAAGTTTGTTTTTTAATACTTGTATAAAACTATAAAGTATAAAATATAAATTATAAAAACAAAAAAAAAATTAACCGACCCGTGACCCGGGCGGGTGGCCCGGCCCGAACCGGACCCGTCCAACCCTCGGGCCGGTCCCGGGCCCATATTATACGAACCAGCAGCCCGACCGGGCCTAGGCCCGGCCCGGACCCGACCCGGCCCGAGTCCATGACTAGCTGTGAATAGACTCGAGAGCTCCTATAGTCCTATTCACGCCTAGGAACTAGGAAGTTAGGGACACTACAAAAAAACACGCCGTTTGTCACGGATTTTGTCACGGACGGTAGTTCAAAAAATACGTGACAAATGATTTTTTGTCAAGGATTTGTCACGGAAAAAATCCGTGACACCAGGGGCGTGATAATGTTTTTGTCACGGAAATTAATCCGTGAGACCGTTTGTCACGGATTTGTCACGGCCACCGCCCGTGACAAAACACTTCACCGGAACCTCATCGTCTTTCATTTGTCACGGACGCATCCGTGAATAATTTTTTTTATTTTTCAAAAAAAAAATAATTATTTGTCACGGAAATTTCCGTGACAAATTTAAAAAAAGGTTTTTCGAAATAGGGTGGGCGGGTTTTTGAAACGATCCGGAAAATTCAAATTTTAAATTTTGTCACGGAAATATCCGTGACAAAACATTTTGAAAAAAATTTGAAAATTTTAAAATAGAGTGGGCGGGTGCTTTAAAATTTTCAAAAAAATTCAAAATTTTGAATGATCCGTGACAAAACATTTTTTTTAAAACAAAATACGTTATTTTCAGCGTTTTTTGTATTTAGAATAAAATGAATTTATATTTTGACACGGAACAGTCCGTGACAAACGTTTAAATTTTTTAAAAATTTTTTTTAAAAATTCAGCGCATTAATTTTTTGAATGTTTATTTCAAAAGTTTATTTAATAAATAATAACCATTAAAAGTTAGGCGCTTTTTCAAAAGTTTATTTTCAAATGTTTATTAAGCATTGTTTTTAATAAATAGTTAAACAATAATCTTAATAAATAATTGTTCACAATAAATAATTAAACAATCATCATTAATCATCATTAATCACCATTAAACATTAGGTATCATAATAAATAATAATCTAATCAAATCATCATTATAAAACACAAATAATTAATATTCATACATTAACACATCAAAATTTAAAAATCCTTAAAATGTTACTCCCTCCGTCCCTAAATTATCTTCAAACTTTCCTTTTTCGTCCGTCCCAAAATTATCTCCTCTTCCCCCTTTTAGCAAAAAATTTGTGGTTCACAACCATTCTTACACATTCTTACACATTTCTCTCTCCTCTGCACAACTCTCCACCACACAAATCCCACTATCTTAATAAATGTGCCCAGCCGAAAAGGGAGAAAGATTAGGGACGGAGGGAGTAATAAACTAATTATTACAAACCATCAATGGTCATCATAATCAGCATCAGCATCATCAGGTTCGTCACGATGATCGGGTTGCCTTCCGTGGCCACGGCTGCCACCACGATGGCTGCCTCGACTGCCACTGCGGCTGCCAGCACGGCTGCTGCCACAGTAAGCTTGAGCTCCGGGAGTCGGGATATCATCATAATATCCATATGGAAAGTTGTTGGAGATATGACTATAATTAGCAAAACCCCTACTGCCCATACTGCCCATATTGCCCATATTGCCCGCGAAGGGAACTTGTGGGGTCATCTCAGGGTGCTGTATGTGCATGGATGGACGGTAGGTGGCGTTGAAAATACGCATTTGGCGTTCCATCTCTTCCAACCTTTCTCTTGTTCTTCTTTGCTCTTCATCCCGTATCCGAGCTTCTTCATCCCGCCTTCGAGCCTCGGCCTCACGTTCCTCCAATAGTTTCTCGAGGCGGGTAACCCGATCATCATATGCCGAATGAGAAGATGAGCTAGCTCCTTTGGTCTTCTCTAGGATCCGTACGCCTTCAGAACCCATAAGCGGCACCCGGCCCTTGTAAACTCTGGTTGCCGCCAAGATGGCCTCATTATCTTGATTTTCATCAAGTTCGTCATCAGAATCAGCCAACTCATCAACTCTCTTCCCCCGCTCTTCCTCATATTTTTTCTACAAGTTCAAAAATTTATTATATAAGAGATAAAAAAATCGAAATTTATTGAATTATGTTTCATTATTTACTTCAATTTCAGAAAGGCGGGGAGGCGGCATGGCACCCTTCTTCGTCCAGCAATGTGCCATGAGTTTCAATGGCGTGACCCGTTTTTTCACGGGTCCAGATCCTTCCTACACGGATTTCAAAGTTAATAAAAAAATATATACATAAAGGTATGGAATGGAAATAATTTTAACTAATTAGAGTTTATCAGATCTTTTTTATGTTGAATTTGGGGTTTGCGGGCCCCGTGCCATTGAACTTCCTTGGCTTTCTAAATTGTGATGTCTTTTCTAGATGCAAGACATCTTTGGTTTTGTGGGTAAAATCCATAACCGTGTTAAATATATTGTCAAAGACGTTCTTCTCAACGTGCATGACATCTAAATTGTTACGAATGAGAAGGTCCTTCCAATACGGCAACTCCCAAAATATACTCCTCTTTGTCCACTTATGGGTATCACAATACCCATTTGGCTCCCCGTGGGGTTGCTGCACGG